AAATGTTTTTTCTGTGTGCTGGTCTCTGCCTGAGGCAGGACGACAGTAAAAGTGCAAGTACCAACTTAGGAATCTTTGTCCATTAGAACTTTGTCTAGAAGATAAAATGTTCACCTGTTTCGCTGGTCTGTTAGGGCATTAGGAAAAACAAAAGTATGTAAAGTACCATATTGTGCTTCCTGGCTCTTTTCCAATTTTTAAGCTTATGTTGAGATAGATTTCAGTTGTTTCCATTTTGAATTAAGTTTGTTTAGGAATTGATTTAGTTGCTACTGCATAGAGTCTTAAAATGGGAGAGGTTTTTGAGCTAGGTCCCTGAGCTAGTTGTCTGAACTACTTTACTCTTCTGGGGTGATAGGCTGCTCAAAGGGCAATTGTAAATGTTGTAGCTGTTTCTAGAAATTGTAGTTTGGTCTATTACTTTAAGCAAATACTCCCTCTGGAATGTAAGACCTATGTTTTGTTTTCTATTTTAGAGGAATTGTGGTGTCTTACTAAGCCCTTGTTTTTAAAAAGGAGAAAAAATAAGGTCAATTGCATTTGAATGCAGTTATAATTTTGTATAATTTGATCTTAATTTGTCTAAATAGCACATTTTGTCTTTATTCTGCAAAGAGTTGCCTAAAGCTGTTTGCTCTTAATTCTTTGGTACTTGAATCTGTGTTTTTCTTGACTCTTTGTTACTTTGTTTCTCTGTCCTTATCTGTGATTAACCATAATTTCTCCCTGTCACATAATAGAGGGTTTTAGTTTAAATGTACTTTCATTATGTAGGCTGATCTTGCAGCAAGTCTAATGGTGCATTATCAATGGCAGTAAAAAGGAGGAGGGCACTAAGAGCAATGTGGTGGGATCTCCAGTGCCATTGCAGTGCATAGCTTTACTATTCAATTAAAGGACACGGAAGCATTTCTCTCTAATGTTGCTATAATATTCATGTTGTCTTATTTTTTACTCTCTGACCTGTCATGCGATCCTCAGGTGGTGGCAGGGAGAGAGGAGTTGAGTAGCTCTCATACTGACTGAGGTGGACAAAGATTTGCTGTTTGCTTATGATAACTTCAGAAGTACTGCATGCAGCATAAAATATATGAAACATTTATATATTTTCAACTTTTTTTAGTACATTTGGTATTTCTGGGTATCCTTTTTTGCTTGAAACAGTGTTTCACAATGTCTGTTTCCTTTTGCCTTCATGCAGAAAGCTGTTAATAAGATTACACTGGCAGGTCCTAATTTTGTTAATTTCATTTGGAGCAAAATGCAGATACACAAATGCTCTAGTTACTTGCTTACTCATAAAATGTTGAAAACCAGTTGTCAATAAGAAATCTTATTGTCATTTCAAATGTTCAAATGAAAGCCATTGAAATCAGGTGCAATTCCTTCTATCTGTGATGGTGTAATTCACTGTATTATTTTAGCTTATAATAAATCTGCATAAGGATCTTTGGGCAATAACAAGAGACTATAGCAAATCTCCAAAGCAGAGCTTGAGTAAGTCGTTGGTTTGCACAACCATGTACTGTGTACTTTAGAAAGAAATGGAACGAGTTCTGGGAGAGGGGTGGCTGGAATCTTGCACCACCTACATTTACTTTGAAGATGTTAAAAGTGGAGGTGTTCTTGCATCTTCTTTTAGAGGCTGGGGGAGTTGTATATTTTATTAAATATTTTCTACATCATCTGATTCATGTTGGTAGCTCTTGCAGTGTCCTGAAAAGTCAGGCAAAAGGAATTTTAGTTTAACTTTTCCTCTCCCTCCCCCTTGCATCTGTGTTATGAGGCAGAAAAAGTATTTTCAGTTAAGGATTCAGTTCAGATCTTGACTGTTTTATCACTTTGCTCTCAAGTCTGGTGTTGCAGAAGCTATTTATAGCTTTTTCAATTTATTTATAAATTGAAGATATAAAAGTGTGAGAGTTACTTCTAGGCAAGGTTAGTAATTAAGCACAAGCCTGTAAATGGAGTGTTTAATCCCTTTGACAATAGCAGTAATCTTTCTCAGTTGGAAGGGATCACAAAAATATCTCTGACGTTTTAATCTAGATTATAGACAGCACTCACCTGTGAATTACTGGAAGACCCTCCTGTTTCTATTCCATACAATATGCTGTTTTGTTGCCAATGTTCAGCTCAGTGTCAAAAATGAGAGTTATGTTCACTATGGCTGGACCACAATGTAGATTAATGTCCTAGTTGAAAAGTTGAATGTAACGGGATATAAAGTCCCAGAGAATAGTGAGCATGAAGTATGGTAGGCTGTTGCCCAGTAGCTAAAATTCAATGAGAGTGATCTAAGAGTCCTCTTACAGTAAAGCTTTTTCCTTTATTGCATGTGATGTGCTTCACGTACTCCCTGTTCCTGGGCATTTCACATGCAGGAAGTGATTTAATTTTACCTCTAAGATAAACCTGACATACTCCTTTGTGTTAATCTTTGTTTCACAGAGCTTAAGCTATACCACTGTTCAGTTTCTGTTCTGTGGGCAACTGGAAATCTCCTCAGTGTTGTATTCCCTTGGTTCTCTGCTGTGCAGAAAGTCATACCTTTGTTCTGTAGTTCTGTTTGATCCTTGAGGAAACTGGAACTGATGGTGAGCTGAAGTAGCTGTCAGGCTGGAGCTCTTCCCCGAGCTGCCCTTGGTGAATGGTATATCACAAAATGGCTGTTTTTGTAACATTTCAGAAGCTCCTCCAAGATTGTCAGCTTTAGTGAGAACTTCATGGTTAAGTTTCATTGAGGTTAACAGGGATACTGCTTCCTGTTGCAACACTCCTGAGAGAACAAAATTGTGCTTTTAGGATTAAGTGTGAATTATGAACACAAAATAAAAAGACTCGAGGGATGCTATATAAAAGGGATTAATTATGTATTTGTTGTGAAGGGCAGTAGCTCTATTTTAAAGTCTGTTTTGCATCTCCATTAAATATTGTCGCTGCTCAATAAACCTTTTGAGTATGTGTTGGAATCTGAAGCATGTGCTTAATTGCTTTCCTGAATTGGGGCCTTCATTACCAAATTGCAGGTGCATGTTAGCTTAAGTATTTAAGGAAAAAAATAACTGTAAAACAATGCTTACTTTGTTCTGTTCGGTGTGTTGCATTAATGGAAAACATCAGAAATGCTATGCTGTTGCTATGCTGTCCCAAACAGACTTATATAGTTAATGGCGTGAATGTTCTGTATGAGATATGGTCTAGTTAAGAATTGACATGCAGTGATTAAATAAAAATTTGAAAATTGAAAGTGAGATTCTATTTTAGGGTACATAATATTATTGCAGAATGTGGCTTTCAAATGTTTTCCTGTTTAAAAGTGTGTTTCAGTTACAGTTTTGAAAATTCTTACGTGGGTATTAGAGCATCTATTAAACATGTGCAATAGCTGGGGCTTTGTAAACATTACCATAATAAACTGTTCTGTATACAAGGGTTTAATAACGTGGTTGTAAAAGTGTGTTTTACACATAAAAGTGGTGTATTTGTCTGCCAGAAAACTTGTGCTTTAAAAATAAGTAACCTTATTTAAAGAGAGCGATTAAGAAGGAAATGCAAGAAAAAATGGACTGTGCCTAAATCATTCCTGATAAATATTTGATCAATGTATTCTTTAATAAATAAATAACCCCCACTTAGCTAGAAAAAGTAGCTCAGTACAGGGTTAATCTAGTATTCCTCAAGCCTGAACTTACACTTCCTGTCTGTTGCTACATAAAATGTTCATACATATAATGAAGATGTGCTTTCCATGCAGGAAGTAAACCTGCGCTGTGTAAACACATCAGTGACACAGGGGTTTTGTTTTGTGGTGCTGCCTGTGAAGCTTCCGTAGCCCAAGACGCCTTTGGCACACAGAAATCCTTTGTCATCTGTCACAGATAGGGGCCTGTGCCATGCTGTAACAGTTGTACATCTTTTCTTCTTCTCTACCGACATAAAATTAGCTATAGCTACATTGTGCTCAGTGAGACCACCAGATCTTTGAGAGGCATTCCTCTCTTTAAAATACTGGACTCTGATGTGAAATAGGAGAGAAGATACATTCTGATTTACTAGAAATGCTATGAAATCTTGGAGATATCTATGGAGAAGCTGAGAAGTACTTGCTACTCTTACCAGTGTATCTTCTGACCAAGGCAAAAGTGACAAGTCTAGATTCAGTTGGCTGGTATGTCTTTTAGCTCTGAGACTCCTTAGGACAAGTTTGAAATGATACTTTTTCACCTTTATACATACATATACATTAATATGATTTACAAATAACCAACACATTTGTGCTGTGGTCTGGAGTAACAATATTTAAATTTAGTAGAAAGTTTTGGTGTTTATTAAAATATGGTTTTAAATCAGTTGGGTTTGTGCCTTTTTACATTTAAGTTCAAAATTAATATTGTGTGCTGTGAGAAACATATTTAGGAGATATAAGTCTTCATATTTTCATTCAAGAATTGACCTTGGGTGGATTCATAGGTGAGAGAATAGATATTCTGCAGATTTCTTTTTGTCTTTGCTGGTTATAAGCTGAAATCTGCCAGTGATATTTTGTGCAGCAAGGTGTGTGAAATCAAATGAGGAATATAGGCCCTTGAAAATAAGAGAAAAACATAGCTGAAAAATGCCAAATAATGTAAGCAACATTTGGATATTCCTTTTTAGCTATTGTAAATTAAGGCTTAATTTCCAGGGTGTAAGTGTACTGAATCCGAACAAAATTGTGGGAGTTCTCATTTTGTCAATGTCTTTTCCTTACATTTTATTTGTATTATCAAGAAATAGAAAGGAATTAGCTTCTAGCAATGAAATCTGAAAAAAATGCATTTTTCTTTTTTTTACTTGTTTTTCATTCCTTGCCTAGTACTCTTAAAAACACTGGAGATTTTGGATGTGTTTGACATTAACCTGTTGGTGTTTACCAGGCATGAACTGTTGCCATTGTGCTGTTCCATAAACATTGGAAGGATAACCAAGTTACTTAAAATTTTCTGTTGTCTTCCAAGGGACGTCAGAGATGGCTTCAGAAGGAAAAGCTTCTATTCTCATTATGGCAGAGATCGATCCCCTCACAAGAGGGACTCTCCTTTCTTCAGGGAATCGCCAGGGAGCCGAAGGGATTCTCCGCACAGCAGATCTGGCTCTAGTGTCAGCAGCAGAAGCTACTCTCCTGAAAGAAGCAAAGCCTATCCTTACCACCAGCATAGCAGAAATATGTCATCTTCACATAAAAGAAATGTTTCTTCTCAGCAAGGTAATGCTGGATTAATGATGGGAACCGATTTGTGAGGTGAAACTGCAGCTCACTGTATAAGCCTTTTTTCCTTACATGCTCTTTTTAAAATGAGAAAAGCTGACATTTTGTACTGTGTGGTGTCTGCTCTGATTGCTTCATTGTACTCTCTGTTCCCTTATGTATTTCATGTGGGAGATTGTGTTATTTTGATATCAGGTCTAGACTGGCTGTAGGAGTTTCAGTTGCACAGCTTTTTCTAGTATTTTACATTTTTAGCATCAGCTCCTGTTATTTCTTTATGTGCTTCATTGGCTTTCCTGACAAGAAACTTTGCTTCATCTACAGGAGGTGAAGACATTTCTTCCTGCAAGTGGAATAAAACAGGGATTAAAAAAATGGAGAAATGAAAGTACATACTTCTACTTGTTTCATTTTCTCCAAATTTTGCTAGGCTTTTGAAACTGATTGTTTTTTAGCAATTACATTTCCATGTCAAAACCTCTCAGCTCTTGCTCTCCTCAAAGAAATGTGAAGCATATCTCAGTTGAGTCTATTCTGACTTTTAAAAACTTGGCCCTTAATGTTTCCCAGAAGTCTGATGAATCATCTGTTTTGAAAATATTTGAGGTTTCGTATTTAAATTATTTTGTGGGGGAAAAAATTGCGTTTTTTAGTATACTACAATCTTAGCCACTCTGTTTGTACAGCTTATGTAAATTGATCCAATTTGATTTCCCATTCTGCAAAGGCTTTCTAGTGAACTATGCAAACCTACTGTTCATTTTGGCAGCTTTTTAAAAAATAATTAGATTTTTTTTCACTCACTGAGAAGGCACATTGTATTTCCAGAGTGACACTGAGCCATTATGTCGCACTTCTTGTCAAAAAAGATCTTTGTAGTTTTGTTAACACTGTTTAAATATTGAGGAATAATTTCACTTCTTACAGACTAGACATGGTCTTTCTATTTGGGCATTACAGTGCTTTCAACATTTTGTAGCAATACTTAGTGAACATAAATTCCTCTAAGTGTAGGGGAGGAAGAAAAAAAATAAGATAATTTTCTTGAAGTCTTGTAGGTGTGCAGCTTGTAATTATTAGGGACAGGAAAACAATGTTGTGAGAAATCATACAACATTTTTGAATGTTTCATGCTTTTTTTTAAATTTTGAGCTGATTTTGATCATATATGTATATAGTGTATGGTTAGAATTACTCAGACAATAGTGGAGGTAGTGATGTAGAAGCAGATACATTCACAAACCAGAAAAGATGCTGATCAAGAGAGGAGCTTACATCTAGGTCTATGGTTTTTGATATTTTCTCCTGTTTGCATGGTATAATACCTTTCCCGGTTGCCTTTAGATAAGTTTTAAGAGACCAGCTGAGTTGTACACTGGGCTATTTCTTTATTCCTTTCCCTGGAAAGGAGAACTACTAAAATGTCTCTCTAGATGACTGAATTAAAACACCTATTTGCAAGGTATAAATTGTTTAATACTTGTTAGAATATTTTTTGAATGTGATTTGCCTTAGGTAAGCTCACGTATTCCATATTTAAAAGGAACATTAAGTGGGACATCTCATATATGTCAGCAGTACATTTAAATGGATTTACAACATGCAGAGTATATACTATTTCATGTGGAATTTCCAATATGGCAGCTTTCTAAAATATTATAATGCTGTTTAAAATCATGCTATCTGAATAGGTTTGGCCACTTCCACTAAAGAAGAAATATCCCATTTTCTACAGCCCTTCATACATTAGGATAAATACAGAATTTAAACAGAGAAAACTATGGGGACATGAAGAAGCTTGGTACAGGGAGGGGAAGGGTTAATGGAAAGGGCATTCATCTGTGATGGGAGAGCATGGAGAGGAGCAGGATGGGATGTTTAATTTTACAGGTAGGGCTTTGGGGCTCAAAATAGCCACACGCATTCTGAAAAAAAAATGGCCTAATAATGTCTTCTAATTAAATAGTGTTTTTTTCACTTTGCTTAACTTTGAATAATTTTCTGCCATTTGTATCAACTAATTTAATCTGTTCAGGTGCAAACATAATCCGTTCAACTGATAATAATCTTTAAAGAATCAAGTCTGACAGAGGAGCCATGTGGGAGGCAGAGTTAGAGTAGTCCATGAATTTAGAAGGAGGAAGCTTGCCTGTGGGGCTGAGAAGCAGGTATCACAGGAGCAAAGCTTGTGTTACTTAGTGGAAACAAAGGAGATGTTCTGTGCTTTGTTGCTTTGACTCATTAAATTAAAACCATATTTAAAGCCATAATGAACAATCACATTTATAGTTCTACAAAAATTATTTCTATCCCAATTTTCATAACTCTTCAATAGCTTTTTAAATTAATCCCTTTATTAATTGTATATATAAAAATTTAATGGAAGCCAAAGTAAGCTTACATTACCGTGGCTTATTCGTGATCAGTCAACTGTTTCCAAGTCAGTGTGAATAATCTGGTTAATTTAGACCTACTGACAACATGTTTGCTTTTTGTACTTACCTTTTGCAGATCTCTTAGATGTAATCTGTGGACCACAACTTGGAAACTAGTAGTTTACACTGCAACCAGTTCTGTTGCTGTGGGTTGCCTGTAACTGGTCTGTGGCAAAGCTAGGCACAGATTGTTATTAGCACTGTGAATTTGATTTGACATTTTGCCAATTTTAACTTCTGTAAGAAAGAAAGCAATCTTACAAGAAGCATCTACTCCGTGGTTGATACAATACAGGACTGATTCCCATGGCAGGTCTTTTCAACATACTGTGGCCTGCTAAACTAGTTCATGCACTACCAGTTACCTTGAGTGATTGACTAGTGTGTAATATTTCAACTGTTTCTATTATTGCAGGAATATTAAAAAGTGAAATCACATCATCTAGTGGAATCATACAGATACACCCTTTCAGTTAATGATGGAAAAAAGGACAGTGGGTTTTCTTTAATGTGTGAAATGACACAGCTGTATCTTTTCTCTCCTTGGGAAGAGGAGGTAGTGTTACCAGTATTTGTCAGATGATGGAGTATGTAGATTTTATAGAATCATTAAGGTTGGGAAAGCCCTCCAAGATGGAGTCCAGCCTTTGACCTAACCCCGCCCTATCAACTAGACACTAAAGCAACATGGCACTAAATGCCATGTCCTGTCGATTCCTGAACACTTCCAGTGATAGTGGCTCCACCACCTCCCTGAACAGCTGTTCCAAGCTTAGCCACTCTTTCACTGAAAAGATTCTTCCTGGTGTCCAGCCTGAACCTTCCCTGGCACAGCTTGAGGCTATTTCCTCTTGTCAGTAGTTGCCTGGGAGAAGAGTTCAGTTCCCCTCTTGCTACAACCCCGTCTCGGGTAGTTGTTGAGGATGATAAGGTTGGTGTCTGACGTGAGAAAATTTCAGTGCAATTTTTCTAAGTCAGTAAACATATTTGCAATATATATCTTTAATTTCTCAGTCATTAATTTTTTTTCTTAATTGTAGGTAAAGAGAGGACAGTTCAGTCACTGAAAACATCAAGAGATGCATCACCTTCAGGGTCCACAGCAGTACCTTCATCAAAGGTGAATTTTCTTTTTGAGTACTTCCCACTGGTTTAGATTGTTCATTGTTGGATTTTTTCCTCAGTTGGAAGGAGCTACTGCATATGCCTGTTAAAGTGCATATTGCTTACGATATTACTTCCTTTCCCTTACATTAGGAATAGGACTTGTTCTTAGAATTCTGTGTCATTGTGGGTATGTTGGTATTACCTCTCATTTTGACACAGACACACCTGACATGTATTCAATGGGGAAAAAACCCAGGCTTTGGTTGTGCCATGTCATTTTAAGTGCTTATCTCTTACACATTGCTTTTAGAACTGCTGTGCCAGCTGATTGCCATTGTCCTTAAGGGGGAAGGCAAGTGATGTATTTTCAGTGATGTAAATAGGGAGAATAAGATAAAAGCTATTATGCACAAGTTACACTGATTTGGATCATAAAATATACTTTATAATTAGTTTACTTACTTTGTTTTTAGACTCAGCACACTGCAGCTTAGTATCAAATCCTTACTTAATACACACCTTTGAGAACAAGGAGGCATTGCAAAATCTTTTGCTCTTGTGTTAATATGTAATGTGAGCTTGAGCTCTAAATGTTCTGCTTTCTTCTTCAGTCAGGTCTGATCTATGCTATACTGGTTTTTCCCATCAGTTTGCAAGTATGTGCTGGCAGTGGATATCCACTTAATATAGGCTATGCAAAATGAAACTTTATTTGATGGAAGTCCTTTCCCCAGACAGCATAAATATTTATTGGGTATGCATGAAATGGAAATACTTCTATGACTGTTTATTGACTTTCCACTTCAGTCCCCAAATCTGCTTATAGTGTAACTGCCCTGGGTCAGTGGAGCTTTTTGGAATCAGCCCCTTGGCTGGAATTGCACTGAGCAGTGAGGTTACCTAAGTGCTTCACTGACTCAGAAGTAGTTTTGGCGAAACATGAACATCTCCAGAGCCAGAGTCTTGCAATTTATCAAGCCTTGAGAAATTAGTTATATGCTATATATAGTGATTACAGGAGATAATTTTCAATGCTCTAAGTTATAATTTAGCTTTGAATTTTTTACAAAGGTATATGTTTCCATAGCAATACCTCTTTTCACTGTAGTATCTATTTGCAGATCTCAAAAGGTATTTTTATCTATAATTATATTTTGCATATTCTTGCATGTGAATCAATACCTGTTGATGTTACCTGATATTAGCCACCTGTTTGACTGTGGCATGAAATCTTTTCTGTTTTTCTTTATTAGCTGTAGGGCTGTAAGCCTTGGAGGCTGTATGCAACATAGAGCAGAAGGCGCATGTGTGAGACAGGGACAGCTGCTGAGCAAAGTGACAGCCGTTTGCTTTTCTATGTTATTGATGAGATAAAAAAACACAAAAAAAGAGACACTTCTGGTTTTTTTGGGGGTGAGGGGGCAGCAGTTTAAGTTGTTTTAGTGAGATCTATTGGGTTGGTTGTTTATTGCAAGTTTACAGCCTGAATAGCTGCTGCTATTTTCAACTGTAAAATATGTTCCTGTTCTGTCTCTTCAGAAATGTACCTGTGCAAATATCATTACTTTATCCCATAAAGTTCACTCAGGATTGAATACATATTTATAACATTTAACCTGTAGAATTAAATATAGTGAGACTAAATGAAACAGATTTTTTTTTCTGGATTCCAATAGATGTTAGTTAATTTCTTTTATGGCTTGTGGAAATAGAGCAGGTTGTGTGAGATTTTCTATAAATTATGTTACTGCTTTCTTCTAAGTGCCCTCTTCATATCCCTGCATATTAATCTTAGTCACCCTGACTTCACTGGTTGTAATTCTTTAATTTGCAGTTATAGAAAACAGGGATTCCTATTGCAACATTGGGTTGCACTTCTCTTCTGGATTCAGATAAAGGTGGTGTCTTTATGACACAGAATTTGACAGCAAATGAAATAATTTCAACTTTCTTATTTCCTATTTTAAAATATTTTACTGATCGGAATAACTATTTATTTTCATTTTGAAGATTTTTGCCATGTGTAAGTCCATTTCATGTTACACCTTGACTCTAATGTTTTTGTACAGGCCCTGGAGAAGAGCAACAGACTATCAGAGAAAGAACTTGCAGAAGCTGCGAGCAAGTGGGCAGCTGAAAAGTCAGAGAAGACCGAGGAAAGCAATTTACCTGAAATAACAGAGTATGATGTAAGACAGGATTATTAATCCACTTATTTCCAAGTGTTGCAAAAACAGGCTCTTGTTTTTCTGTACTCTTCATAAAGGCACATTTTGTAATAATTTTTAATCCTGAATTTTTCTGCCTATGCTGTTAAATATTTGTTGAAAGGGAGTGAGAGGGAGATTAAAACCTTGCAATTTATTTATTTGGAAAAAATACACAAAGGCACAGTACATTTTGTTAGTATAATTTGCATTGATGTTGAGCTACGACTGACAATAAAGTTTCAGCTTTCCCAAATGCTCTCCAAGGAGCTCTTGTAGTAGTGTAGCTCTTGTAGTAGTGTAGGTCTGTATGCCCGCTGAACTCCTTAAAATTAGGAAAGGACTTCCGAGTCAAAACACAAGTGTACGTGTAAAACATGCGACTTAAGGAGAGAAGCTCTGGTTTGCTGAGTTCCATTTCAAGCTGTGCCAGCCTACCATGTCATGTATTCTTTTCCAGAAAGCAGTCCTCCATTATATTAAAAATAAACCTTAACTTGTTACTGCAGTGGGTGTATATTTTATTTTCCCCAGAATCCTTATTTCATTATTAATGAAAGTTAATTATTTGCCAGTTTATTTCATTTTGTTTTCACCCCTTGTTGTATTCCACTCCTGGCTATATTGAAGTGAGATTATTATAGCCCTTCTCAGTCATTTGTTATACTGCTCATAGATAGGATGTCTTTTTTGGGTTCTGTCATGTTAGTGGAGAATGTATTTGTCATTTAAAACAGCCCAAATATTATGTTATCTAAAATCTGTTTCAATTCTATGATAATTTTTTCTTTAACTTTCACTTTGTTTCAACTTTAGGGGCATTCTTAAAAAAAGAAAAATAGTATCTACTTCACAAAGTCATGTCTTAACCTTTCCAATTAATGGATTTGGTTTTTTAATTTGTTTTAAAATAATTTTAGGGAAAATGGATGTGTCTTGGGAAGTGTCACATTTCCACTTGTAGAATATAAGGGCTAGGTTAGAGAAATAAACTCACTGAATCCATATTTATCTGAACTTTCAAGTCCCATCCACTGATGTAATGGGTGAATGCATGAGCAGCTACTCAATAGTGGTCAGGAAGATCTAGTTAGATACATAAACTGGAAAAAGCAATTAAAAAAAGAAAAAAAGGGAAGGAAGTGTTAGAGTGAAGAAAAAGCAGCAGCTGATCCAAGGATGAATACCATATGAAGGAGAACAGATGCATGGATGTTTCTGAGAGGTTCAGCAGAGAAATATCACTGTGGTTCTTGATGAGGGAAAGGTAATGCAAGGAAGGAAAGAACAGAGTGGGCCACATGGAGAAGAGTTGTTTAAAGCATCCTCCACGCCTCAGAGAAAATTGCAGTGGCAAAAAGATTAAGCATAAGGAATCAAAGTGAAGCAATTGTAGTTGTTTCTGGTACAGTCTGAGATGATTTATTGACTAAGAAAGTGGGCTGTAGAAATGCTAATGAAGGAGGTGAGGCATCTCATTCTGAGTCTTAGAAGAAAGGACTTCTTACCTGGATTAGTAGGCTGTCACATATGAATTGCAAGAATTCTTAACTTTTTCCTGTTTATCTCACATAGTGCTTAATACTTGAACTTTGTGTTGCACTGAGCTTTTAGCCTTCACTCACTCTCAGGCATTTTGCTCTTCACTGGGATTTGGGATTCAATCTCAATGGTTTGTGTTGCTGCTAAGGTTTGAGCATATGCTCACAGGACCACTTAACCTTTTTACTTCCTTCTTCTGTCTAATGCTTTTCTTTATTGTTAATTAAGTCCTTTACCTTTATTTTTGAATAATAGGAACTAGTTTTCATCTTCTTCAATTTTCAAATCCTATTTATAAAAAAAAAAAATTTGTTCCATAATATTGAATTTAAATAATGCTGTAAAACAGAATTGTTATATTTTCTGTATAAACTCCTTGGGGGTAGCATGTGTTTTCTTTGGAGTAGGAATACTGTCTTAATTTCTGTTCTAGAGGGAGAAATCTTCAAATTACATGTTTGCTTTTGCTATATGAGTTATTACAATAATAATAATAATAGACCTGTGGCCCTGAATGCTTCAAGAGTTCTCCCTGATAGCATTTTTATTTTGTTGATGCCTATGTAGCTTTGCTTTTGTTACTTTTGTCCTTTCCAAGAAGACTAGCCACGTTTTGATTGTGGATTTTTCTTGCTTTCTGGTTTTATAAATATCACATACACAAATTTCTTCTCATTGGATGGGCAGGTGGAGGTTATCTACATCATTGCGTTTACACAGTTAAGGCTGTGTCACAGGTGGTTTTATCATGTTTTCTACGTGTTTAAAGTCTGTATTTCTAGTTCTGTGAAGATTGTAGCAATAATACTTCACTAATAGTCTTGATGAGCAAACTCGTATCTCTGATGACTGTGTTTGGGCTTTTGGGGTTTTTTCCTCATCCTGTGATTGTTATTTTGCTCTGAAAACTGAATTTACTGTGTTTTTTTTGTTTGTTTTTTTTTTTTTTTTTAAGGCTGGGTCTTCAGCTCCATTATACATTGAGCAAACAGAGGAAATAGAGGCAAATCTGACGGATAATACGGAATTATACGAGGACAGCCAGCTTCTAGGTCGTTCAAAAGCAATTGCAACTAAGACAAAGGAGATTGAACAGGTGAGTCTTCTTGGCATTTTGTCACTAATGCAGTAATGGTTTGCTCTGCTAAAATTACCTTGATTTATTTTTTCCTCCTCCTTGGAGTGTAATATGAATGTAATTTGATTTTTCAAGATGATGTGGTATCATCTCCAACAGTTTAATTCCGAAGAACCATGGCATTTATCTGCACGTGAAAATTAATGGTAGTTTTCTGCAACTTAGATACAACAGCTGCTGTTTTGCAAGCTCAGCTAATACAATGACGGCCTCTTAATTCTAGTGGCCTTTGTTCAGTTGCCTGTGAGGGCCATTTCCTGGGCTGCAACACTGTTCCTTTTCACTGACACTTGAAAACCAGATATCTACTCTGTTGGTTTTGGGGGTTTGTTTTTTTTTTTATTCTCTTAATATTGACTTTGCCTAATCATGTTCATGGTGGGCACAGCTTTGCATGTGTGCAGGGTCTGGTGGGATGGAGTTTTACCGGAGAGTGCTGTAGCTGTGAGAGCCATGATGCAGTTGGTTTATCCCTGTGTGTCTGATCACGGGATCACAGATGCCTAAAAGAGCTAGGACCAGATGCATAAGCTTAGAACTTTTTAAAAATTACAAACTGAAAAAAAAAAATACACAGGCTTTGAAAAGATTTTTTAAAAAATAGCTATTGTGATTAATTAACCTCATGCTAGTGAATGTATGGTTAAATTTCCCTAGGCTCAAGGACACAGTTATAGTGAAAATGGATGAAAATTTGGTCATAAAACCCAAATATTGTTTTCCATATGATCTAATCCTACTATGGTAGAGTTTGCACTTAGTTCTAGGGAAATCTATGTTATGTTCTATAAAATGAACTTATTAGGAACTTAGTTCAAAAAAGCCTGAGGAGTAACTTAGATTTGGATTTTGCATAACCAGTTTCTTCTGTTGTTGATTTGAATATTGAAGCTGTCAGCTTCTGCAGAATTTAAATAAGATTCTAGAATGATGCTAGAAGTATTTTACTGAATTGAACAAGATGCTTATTTTCTTATAAACCAGGAACTGTGATTTTTTTAAGAATTAGACAAGATATTTACTTAATCATTAAAAATTAAGACTGGAAAATTATCTACATATTTTTTACATAAATACTTAACATTAACTTCTGGGTCTGCAATTAAATTTTCTGAATTTTAAAAAAATTGTTGGGATAGACCTGATGATTTTCATAATGATCATGAGTATCATAATGAGTCATCATAATAAAATACTGTGAATCTTCCTACTATGTATGGAATCAGTCTGTAAAAATTTGTATACTAACCTGTTTACTTTGAGTTCTCAGCATCTAAAAGTAAATTTAACATTAAATCTGTAAGGTGAACTGTAAGCTTGTACATTTATAAAAAAGCTTCTTCATAATTTATTTCTGATTGTTTGTCTTGAAGACTCAAGTAATAGCAGAAAAATTATTTGGTTCGATGGACTTCTTTGCAGTTAAATTTCATTCAAGTGTTTTATGTAGTATTTCTGGAATGTAATTTTGTGGGAGGATTACTAAAATAAAATGCTTATTGCAAAGACTTATGCTGCAAGAATGGTGAAGCTGTAATCCTTCTGCAAAGCAAGATTTTCAAGAGGTTGTTTTTCAGTATGCACTGGACAACTATTAAGGTATTTAAAATAAGTAAGAAATGAAGTCAGACAGGGCATGTGCCACTGGGTATGTGTTAAAGAATTGGTGAGGGCCCAGCTATTTGAAAAAGTGAGGTTTGACCCATTGAACTACTTCTACTTCCGTCTCCTTAATTTTTCTTTCTCTCAGAGCACCAGATCTAATGATGTTTGCTTTTTGGTTCGTATTTATTCTCAGCCTGATTGCCAGGTATTTCTTGGCTGTTCCAGACTCCTGATAAAGCCTTCTTTGCTTTGCCTTCTCCATATCCATTTGTCTCCAAAACTCTAACCTGGAAAAGGAGCAAAATTTTCCAAATATGTACTTCATAGGATGGTACTATTTCCTCTGGGAAAACCCAGAGGCAAAAAACTCTGCTGACAGAACATGCACGGTGTCGCAATGAGCAAATCCATTGCTGTGCAGCAGAGAAACAGGCAGCCTGATGCCCTGGGCAGGAGGGAGGTGGCAGCTTGTGAGATAGTCTGTTTTTTCTCTTAAGAAAAACAATCAAAAATATCCCTTGAGCAATTGAATGAAATATTCATACAGGTGTTCTGTTTTAAATGAGTCCATCGCAGTATCTTGCGTATCGCTCACATCACTCTTTTGTAAAGCTGCCACTGCCTTTTCTCTAAGCTACAATAACACAATTGCCAGTTTCAGAATGTTAAATGAAGCGTGATTGTAAGTGATCACCCTGCTCCTCAAGAAAAAAGTTGTATGTTATTTATTTGGTGTGGGACTCACTGCAAACATTCATGCAAAATCATGTCATTTGAAGAAAAATGAAGTTTTTTGTGTGCTGATGATGACAGGGCAAAATGTGTCAAACCAAGGGCTAGTTGCTGTTTGCTATATAGTGTCTGTCTTTTAGGAGTCTGCAGTTGCTTTGCAAATATTAACTGAAGATGACACAAAGAGAGGAAACTAGAAATTCTGCTCACGGATAAAGGCTTGGAAAAATCCAGACACTGTTTAAACAGAGCCAAGAATTATCTGTGTCGCTCCCAAACTAGAAAAACTTTGAAGTATATATTTCATTTGAAGTGTGCCAATATTACTTGGAAAGGAGGGGCATGGTTGCAGATGCACAGATGCTTGAAAACATTTCTGAACTAGGACTGAACGTCCTGGGCATTTTTGTCTCATCTTTGAAACAACAGGCATAGTGACATTCTTGTGGAAACACCTAGGTTGCATAGGACTTGCCCCAGCCCATCTCCTCAAAACAGGGCCTTAGATCAGGGCATTCAGGGCTCTGTCAAATTGAGCCCTGCCTATTTGCAGTGAAGGAGGCTCCACTGTTTCCCTGGGCAGCCTCTTCCAGTGTCTTGAGCTCTTTGTCTTGAGCTCAGCTTCCATCACATGGTTTCTTTCCACCAAGGACACGATTTCTGCTCACTTCTTCTCTTGACAGCTTTCTGTCTGCGTTCTTGAAGTGCAGAATCCCAACTCCTTGTTGAGGTCCCCTGCTTTTGGGACCTGCCCCACTGGGAGTGGACTCTGCTGTTCTCAGGGAAGGGTTGATTTCCTAGAACCCCCTGGCTCTGACACTTCATGATTGGAAGAATAGGGGTTTTTTTTCTGGCATTTCTGTGTGGCAGGTACTGTGGAAATGGTTCCCTTCAATCCAGGTGCAGACTCTTTTCAATCTTCGTTCTTCTGCATGGAGCGGAAATTGTGCAGCATTAATGTGTGTGTCTCATATTTTAATATATCCCATTATATGTTCTTTAATGTTCTCTCCTTAATAAAAAGCTTTGGAGAGTTTTTTTGTATTTTTTTTTTTTAATAGGATACTGAGATAATTAGTTTTCTGGGTTGGGATGTTTTTTGATTGTTTGGTTGGGGTTTTTTTTGAAGTTAGGTGTTTCCTTAGATCTTTAAACATGCATCTCCCTCTTTTCTTTGCTTTTACAATTTTGAAATAAGGTGTTAAATGTTGTCTGAGCATTTGCCTGAGCGGGGTGAGGTAGAGCCCCATTAAACAGATTCTTAAACGATTGGTCTGGTTACTTGTAAGCAGCATTGTAGTGAATTTTGCATCTGCATGTCAGGATCAATAAATGTGTATAGTTTGCTAATGTAACCATTTCATTCACTTTTTAAATATCTTTGCATTTAATGGCATGCATTATGCATTAAGGTAATATTTTGGAGTTGTTTAGTTTCTGGTTTTATATAGTTAAGGATCAGCATATGCTTTTAGCATGTAATGTGCTGAAGTGTGGTGATTTTCTTCGGAAGTGATGACAAATGTGTCCCTGGTGTTAAATTCATAATTGGAGCTATTCAGCATCAGTGTTGCACAAAAGGCTATCTCTTTGTTCTTCCTTCATGAGCACGGGTAGCAGGGATTCTTGAAATGTCTTATCTTGTCTAGACATCAAGTCTGTAACACTGTCTTAATTAGTCCATTATTATGTGTCCACTTTTCTTACATGTTGCATATTCAAGTTGGGGTGACATGTATTACCTCTGAAAATCTATTCTTTTCTGAAGACAAATTTCACCAAATGCCAATTTTACCACATACCCTCCTTGAATCTGTCAAAAAAATCAAACCTCTGAGTTTCTGTCTCAATTTGGATAGTACCACAGATTTCTGGCATCTAAGGAATTAATTAGGTACAGGAATGAATACATTCATGAATGTTTTTTATTCTTAATGGAATCACTGGTTGACTGTATGCTTTCAGTTCACCAATGTTTTTAAATGTTCAGCAGAACAATACTTTTTTAATGTTTAAACATTTAGTTTAATTGCTTCTTTAGTTGACATTCTAAATTAATATTGCTTGTTAAGAGTCCTCAGTAGTATTAATGAGCTGTTGTCCTAATGGGACTGCCTTGTTGCTGGAAGATGCTGAAAATCAGAGATCTTTCTAAAGCTTGTGTTTGAAACTTCATAGCTATGGTGCATAGAAAGAAGGAAAAATGAGGTCCAAGCTGTCCAAATTCTGTTTCCAGATCTGCTGTCTAACTCCTTTTCTTTTTTAGGTAAATTACTGACATCTCTGACCTAGAAGTTACAATTAAGTAAGAAAAAGAGATTTTAGCAGTTACAGTGTGTGTGTGTAGTTTGAGAAGAGCTGTTTCTTGTTTCCCTTCTTTGTCATGGCTCTTGTTCTGGTAAGATCTATATAGCAATACCTGAATTGTTTTTGTGTACTTGACACTTGTTAATGGGACTCTGTTGTCTGGAGATGCTGCTCTGAGAGAAGACTGACCTCTCACAAAGTGATATTTTACACTGAAAGGACTTTTTAAAATTTTTGGTTTTAATATCAACTAAACATGACTAAAATTATAAAGACCTTTCTGTCATAATAAAATAGCTACAGTTTGTGTAGTG